CTGATCCTTTGGTTGGTTTTGTTTTCTTAAAATGTAAGAGAGAACCAGGCAGTAATACACGGACAAAGTGCTGATGACAGGGACTACTTAAACAGATTTGTCATCGGAAGACACATATATAACCATACCCAACTTTCCTACTCACACTCCATTTTCCCACTTCATTAAATTGCCCCCTAATCACAGCTAGCTGAGGCACATTAGGAACAAATGCTAAGGAAGGAGAAGGATGATTAGGTAGAACAATAGGTTAAAATCAATATATTACTTACATTAGATCTCATTGGAGCTCAAGAATTGAGAAGTATATATAGACACACATATATAGGCTTCCATGTTTTTAAATAATCCAGGTACATGTTGATGGAAAACTGAACACTGGAAATGAAGAGTAGACACCAGACAACGTTTCTCAGACTGTTACACCAATTGCCTTACTATTCTGATACCTATGACTTAATGAATATTAATCAGTTCAAATCAATCTTTGAAATACCTATTACTCATGGGAAGGTAAAGATAATATAAATAGCTGAAGCTAACATTTATTGTTCACTTCATCTTGCATGCTTGTTCAAAAGTCTGTACCAATAGGAAAAGATGCATTTTATTATCTGAAATATAGGTTTTTCTATGAATATGTTTTTAATTTACATATCATATATATAGAAGTAAAACACTATAGATAGTGCATTTTCCTCCATCCAGTTACAGAATGGAGGCATGGCAATTTAAGTTACCGCTACAGCTGTTTCAGCCACATGTTTAAGAGGAGCTTTTGCTTCATTTAGAAGAAATGAGATTTGTAAAGTTATTTAGTCCAAACTGACTACTTAGGATTTTTCTATATTCCTTAGGATGAGATAAGCACCTACCTGAAGCAAGTCACACTGCTTTTAGGATAAACAAGACATTTTTGTGTCACTCTCTCTCCCCACATCGAGAACATAAAGAACTTAGACAACTAGCTTATTTTATGGATTATTGCTACTAGCAGAGACTAAAACCCAACCATCCATCACAGTCTCTTAAATAAGGAGAATTGTAGCATGAATTTAAATGCAAAAATATTAATTATATTTTGATTATAACGAAAACTTCAGAATTATGAGATATATATGACAAACATTAAATACAGATGCCACAATCATGGTTGCCAATACATCTCATTATTGAATAATGAGGAATTTTTGTCTTTGAAGTACTCATACAAGGCACATTTGTGCCGCATCTTTCCACCAGCTGAGCTTACCTGATACCATTTAAGTCCTCCCTCAGGAAACTCACAACAGGTTCTAATGCATCCTGTAGCACATTTTGATATGTATTTTGCATTATGCCCTTGCCTACAGTTGTCTTAGCAACAAACTATTGAAGAGACAATGAGAAAGGCCCCCTTCTCATGTCAAAATTTTGCCACATTAATTCTTAAAGATGAAAGGCTTATTGAAAAACAAATAGTTTTATATGTGTTAAAATGAAGCCCAGAAGAAAGCAGGAGAGAAATCTAAATGGTATCTATAAGACTACCCTGTGCTAAACACAAAAACAACCCACTTGTAAGATCCAGCATAAGAGTTACACTGCTTCCATCATTTTAATCAACAGGATTTCAATTAAAAAATCATTTCGCTAGTATCTAAAATGGCAAACATCTCCAGCAGTGGCCACAGACATCATGTTTAAGCAGTAACAGAGACAGAGGTCTTAACAAAACTCTCCAGAATTTTGGCACAATCAAGTATGAAGACACAAGCCTTATCAGCCAGCATTTATGGGCAGAGATCTGCAACCCTTACATACCTTGACTGAGCTGGGAAAGAAACCATGTTCCCTTAACCCCACCAGATAGCTCACCAAGACTGGCACTGAGACCTAAGCTGAGGAGGCCTGGAATACCAAGCAGGTTGCTTAAACCTCCACAGGCATATCCAACTCAGTATTATATTCCTGAACAAAGTGACTGAAAAGAGCTGAAGAGGAGGGAGAAAGAAAAGATTTCCCAATACAACATATGGGAGGAGAAGTAACTCCCCAACAGGAGGAGGTATGGGATTGCTGAGTGCCCCCTTGTCTCCCTATTAGACAAAGCTTACTTTTTCCACCGTGAACGCAGGACTGAAGATGCTAAATGTTAAAATGTTAAAAAAAGGAGATGAATTTGCAGAGTGAGTGGAAACCAAAGGTATGTCAATAAAAGCAAATACACTGGCAAGAAAATTTACAGGGAAAGACAGAGCATGCTACATGCGGAATAGTAAAAAGCTGACATGAACTTCAAGAAACCATCAAGAAAAGATCAAAGTGTAAATAAGATCATAGGGGTCCTTTTTTATTTTTGCAACTTGTTTTATGTGCCTTTTATGTGTGGAGGAAATAAATAAAGAATCTTTCGTTTGAACTTTAATCAACTCTTAGATTCCAAGAACAAAAGGGCTTATAGGTAGCAATCCCTGTTGCTTCAACAAGAGATACAAGGGGTTCCATCTGTAGAGACCCCTGCAGTAAAATGTGGGATCATTAATCTACAATAACATGGGTTTCATTTACATTGAGCGGTGCATTGACTCCCTATATAAAGAAATGTTTTATCTAGCAGACAAAAGTTGAACGAATCAGGCATAATTTTTTTTCTTTAAAAAACAGCATGCATTTGTGGGGGCTTTTTTTTTTTCTAAGTACATAGTGATGTAATGGATTCTTTAATACACAAAAAGCTGCAAAGTGACTGGTACCTTTCCAAGGGAAGGATTGTACATCAAGTGGACTTTGAGACTTAACATAGGAATCATTGGGGAAAACTCTAAGCACAGCCACCTTTCTTGGTTTTTGGTCTCTGAACTGAGTATCTGAGAATGATGAACAGTATCTTAAAGCATCTAAATATGTTCATATGAAAGGTATCTTTAGTTGTAAACACACCTTAAGAATTTCCCCATTAGAGGCAGACTACATAGAGTATGTGATAACCTCTACCTCAAAAGATTTAGTAGTCTCTAAGCTATTTGTCACTGCCCTTCAGCTGCGATATAAGTATTTGAGAGCTCTTGGTGGGTTTCTCTTCAGTGTGGAACCGGTTTGTCTAAGCACACATTATTGTCCCCAACCCCAGCCAACCCAGATACTGTTGGCAATCAATAGCAGTAGCTATCTAGCATGTAATGTTATGCATCATGCAACATGACTTTGAACAGATCTACTTAAAACCAGCCTGACACTAATGGGTTCCAAGAACAGACTTTCACTATTTCCAGTAGTGATAGGGCAGAATTATAGTAACAGTGGCAAAGTTTAAGCATTTCTGTAGTGAAAGTCTTAGTAAAACAGCATAGGAGAAGCTGTGCTGAAAACTAAAGAACAGTGACCAAAACTGAACAGTGGCCGATAGAAAAGAAATAACTTTGAATTAGGCAAATTTGAATTTGACAGATATGCATTTTCACAGAATAATCCCTTGAAGCAGTTCTTGGATTAGCCTACTCACAAATAAAAAGGCGTCGTTTGTGAATGGAATTATTTCACCTCAGAAAGGTTCTTGTATCAACTTTGGACATAAAATGTAGTATTTGTGGTGAAGCCCTTGAGCATTAACTTGAAGAAATAAAATTAAACTACAGAAGTCAGTAATGTAATAGAAGAACCTTTGTTTACCAAAACAATTATGGAAATACTAAACAACTATTCCACAAAAGCACTGTATCAATCTGTCCCTGGATGTCTGAATAAGTAGAAGTGTTCTGCCATAAACAAAGGGACAAGCAGAATGAAATAAGTAAGCCCCATTGAGGAATGAAAGGGAGCACAAAACATCAAATCAGAGTATTTTAAGAGTAACAGCTACATGTTCTTTCCGATGTTACTGTATATTTGTTGAATTCAGCAAGAAGCTGTTTTTCCCCTCCCATCAGATTCCATTCAGTGTAGTTTGTTCATGATAACTGATGTAGGAAGTCTCAAATGTCAGTTTTCAGTTTATCTGGGCTTTTTGTCAGCTGGAGTAACAACTTAGTGTTTTGACCTGATAAAAATTACATTCAAAACTAGTTTATGCAGGAAGTTGCACATAACCCCAAATGCAATTTAAAAATAAACCTTGCACGAAACCTTACGGTTTGCCAGAAGCTATCACCATTGAAAAAAGTCTCTCAGAGAAAAGATAGATTTGTTGCTAGCTTAAAGATACTTTCAATCAAGAGCTCCAGGAATAGAGCCAGCTTCCCCCAGCTGCTTTCAAAGCGGATGAATTTTCAACATATAATAGGAATGCTCCCTAGCTTTTATGGGTGATGGTGTCCCAGTGATGCCAGAGCAATTTGATTCAAATTTTAATTCTGTAATGGATCCATAAAATCTATTTTTTTCAGCAGTCATACTTGAGCATACATCAGATTGATAGTAGGTTCTACCAGGCTTCCCTGGAGCCAGACTATTTTACTGATCTGACAATGAACTCCAGATTACAAAGAGAAACCTTCTTACAGAAAATACTAGATTTACACAGAAACTGCAGCCTGACCAGCTTTGTGACTATCTTGACAAGGACTCTGTAGATTAAAGACGTCTCTGCATGACAGCTGGGCTACAGAATAGGACGTACTATCGGAACTACCCTGTAAGCTCATGTTCCCATCAAACTGGAAGAAAGTATTCTAGTTTTATGAAAGTGCAAATTATTATGTCACTTTTTTACAAGCAGTTTCCAGAAGGGACACATTTTAAAAACTGAAAATGTTCATCTGGATACAAAATTCAAATTAACTAACAGTGATATTAGATAACCACCTGGTTAGACAAAATTTAGACAATAAAGAGATTTCGTGCATGTAAGCTTCACAAAAAAAAATGTCGGCTATGTAAGGAATGAGCTAAAATAATATGGCAGGAGATAATCAGCTGCTTTCTCACTCTCACAAAAAAGACCAATTTTTCTGAGTGAAAACCTAAACTCATTTAATTCTGAACAATCTAATGCTTGAATTCAAAAGTGGTAATTTACTTACTCTTTTCATAATAAGACTCTGGGCTGTTTCTCAGAGTAATTTCACAGTTATTTTTCATTAATAAAGAAGTTCTTCCTGTGTGCCTTTGTCATCTTCATATACCTGAAAACCAAATACATGCAAGTTAAAGATGGAAAATAAACAAACCAAATCAACTCTAATAATTTGGATGCATCTACATTAGCATTTTGATTCAGATCTTGAGAGGCACCTTGGAGGTAGGTTTCTCAGCCATACCCACTTTCAAGACTCCATTTCACCCCACAACCTTGGAACATGAAACTGGATTCCTTTTGCATCAAGCTAAGCAGAATGTCGCATTGCAGCAAAACATTCGATATTCTCCAACCAAAACTAAAGCATTCTGTGTCCAGACCGCATACGAGTCAGTCAAGTAAAACCTACCATTTAGAATGGCTGCAGGACCATCAGCATTCACTCCTCTGCTGACTATAGAGCCTGCGTCACAGTATTTTCTAGACAGACATTGTCTGCAAAACTCCTGGCATTTCTTTGACACTTTCTGCCTTAGAAGAAAGTAAGGAAGGATTTTAAAATTCCATAGCTATTTCTATTCAAGGCAAAAGGTGACATTAAAAACTTCCTTAATATTTAGTTCTCTTACCAAGTTCTGTACTGCTGTATGAAAATATACCAAATAAAGAGGCTTCTTATTTATAAGGTAGCTATAACCTTGAACAAAACTTCCTGAAGTACCTCAGTTACATAAAGCCCAGTATTCCTTAAATCCATCAGATATTTTGCAAATTTTAACTCACGTACATCATATTATAGACTCAGAGCAACTATTTCTTTTATATGAAAGAACTTCAGAATAGTGTTTTCAGTAAAACAATGAAAGCAATGCAAGGCCAACACAAGATTCAGAGCTTTATAGAAGCACTGAGCTTCAACTATCCGTATATGAATGCTGACAACTTTTTACATGTTCTATAGGTAAGGATTACCACTATGAACAGACCTGTCATGACTGCAATGCTCACTCACCTTATGCCCCTTTATTTTAAAAAAGCCTACCAAAATGGGAAATAGGACATTTCAGTTGTCTGCACCCTGTTAGGCCTGCAAGAGTGATTTTATTTTACATCACTGTACCAAAGATAGTCAAAACTACACCTCAGTGTAGCACATCTCTTACAGCTTGAAAGTGGTCTGGCTGAAAAGCAGCAATTGTGCTCAGCCTTAAGACTACCCTTATCCAGGATCTTCTGCAGCCGAGACCTAATAACCCAAAGGAACATTACCAGAGGGAAGATTCTGGCCAAACTACCTGACCCTGACACCTTCCAAGGAGAAAATATGAAGGACAGGATTCTTTCCTGAGACTGGGAACGTATTTTCCTCACAACAGATTTAGTTTCAATAAAAAGGATCTTTCATCCTCGCTTTTGCGACCTGTGGATGGTAGAAAGTGTCAGGTGGCCAGTACCACAACATGCCTAGTAAGAACACAGTCCAAAAGGAAGGAAGAAAGACTGTCAAAACACCTAAGCAATGAGGACAGAAGTTCTTAATGTCTGGCACAGCCAAAAGAACTTCCGCTTCATCCTGTCCTTTTACTCTTAGAGGAGTAAAGGACAATGAAAATAGAAATCACAAACACCAGCAAACAGGTCTAAACAGAGAAAGTAACAATATTTTGTACTTTATGCTTCTATAAAGAGAATGTTAATAGAGACTTCTTTTTCGTTCTTACTCGAAGCAATGAAGATAATGCATGGCTACAGTCTCCTAGCTGCCAAGCCTGAAGTCCATGGGTGATGTGACGTGGCTCACAGTAGTTCCTTCCAGCACCACTAAACCAACAGTTAAAAGTTCTGTCAAGTCTCACAGTAGGTGTTGTACCAAGACGCATGGAGCGGTACCCATTTCCTGTATTACAGCTGAAACAATTCTTCACCAAGGTGAAGAGAAGCAGATATACAACAGCTCAAAGGATGGAGGGAATAAAATATGAACCTATGTTTTACTGCCCTTTGCATAAGAAATACAAAGATAAGCTCTTAAAAAAATAGATGCAGAGGACTTTTGGAGAGCTTGAAGCAAATCACTTGAGTCAAATTTGACTATGTCATTGCTACAAGAATTCACAGAGAACTCTCCAATCTTCATTATTTCACTTAGTAAGATGATTCTTTTATGACAGAGGAAACAAATATTTGCCCTTTCTCACCAATTTCTCTTTTATTTCTTCATCTCTATTTTAATTTCATTTTGCAACATCCAGGCAAAAAAAAATTATCTAAACACGAATCCATCACTGCTAGACAGATCTTAAATCTATTCAGGAAAGATTTAGCCTTTTTTTTTTTTTCAATGACCACATGGTACAAGGACAACAAAAGTTCAGGGTTTTTTTCATAATCCTTTTGATTCAGAAGTAAACTTAAATACTTCATGTAGTGTTTAAAACATCCCTAATCCAGAGCACAACTATGTGTTTTAATCCCATTCTTACAGAACAAACTTGTTTGAATTGAAAACTTGTTTAAGGGAAGATTGGGATAGCTTGCTGATAGTTTGCACATTTTAGGTAATTTTTTTCCCTCAAGACATATAAACTTAAATTAGCTCAAGTAAACCAGTTCATCTCATTGTTCTGAACCCATATGGAAGGTGCCACCTATGGATTGCAGTTCTTATGGATCTTTATTCAGTTCTCAGTGCTGCAGCAGAAAGTCTCTATACTTGATGCAATATAACAAAACAGATACGCACACCACCCGTTAATTAGAGATGAATATCTCTAAAGTGAAAATTAAAGCCTGAAGGGCAGTTTACAAACTTCCAACATATTTAAGAACTGGAAAGCACAAAAATGGGGTGCAGAGAATTTTTGTTTGTTGCTTTAAATGAGAACCTACCACACAAACATATACACACTTTGTGTGTGCGTACCTGTCTTATCTATGTAATAAAAAAAAAAAATCAAATAGAGAAACTGAACTTTGTTGTTAACTGAAAGTGTAGATTCATTCAGCTGTAAGCTCCAAGTTGAACTTTTCACCTGTAATCTATGAGGAGGATCAGGCCATTGGTGAGAAACACTAATCAAAATGTATAGTCAATGCATAATTTCATCAATGAAATAATGCCACCTCTTGATGAAATATGGCAGATAACCAGCATCAAGCTTGCTACACAAGCAGCTAAGTTTTGGTACTATCCTATCAGGTGATACCTGGGTGTTTGGAATTCACCTAAACCAGCAGAATACACTGACATGCATCATTTTTAGTATGTAAGCAGCCATAACTATCCTTTAATATCATACAAAGGAAAATACTTTGTACACACATTAAAGCTAAACCATGGTCTGCAAACCATGACCTATATTCCCTGTAGACATACAACATCATGTCTTGGTATTCCTCAGAAATAAACAGTGGCACTTAAGAATAATCTAACCTGTGAGTGCAAGCACAAAAGGATTAAGGCAGATTGTGCTGCACAGCACGTATGACAAGAATGCATTGTGTTGTACTCATTTACCTCAATCATTTCCAAACAAAACAAAAAAAAAACAACAAACACCCCCCCCCCAAAAAAAAAACAACAAAACCAAACCCCAAACCAACACAGAATATGCTGCTTTATTTACAGTATGGTTTAGTCATATGTGATTTAATTGTCAGTCTGCACATATACAATGTGCATGTGTATATCAAGATTCAATGATAGATAGATAGCCAGATGGGTATTGTGGAGGTGGTTAGACTGGTATTTACTGAGTTCTGCAGGAGTGGGTGGGGGAATGCACAATCAAGCAAACTTTTAACCTTTTATCTATTTTGCAATGTAATAAGAAATAACCATGAACTAGAGAACAATGAAATAAAAAGCAACCATAAATCAGAGGTCAAAATTGAATCAGAACCAATAAATAAGCATCTCACTTAGCAACTCAGCTCTATGTGCAGCCACATTTCTTCCCCCAACCCCTCTTTTTTTAATTAAACAGTTGACCCTGTGAGTTGTTAACTACTTGAACAATCCTTACATGGGACCTGTAAGGAAGTGCTCTTAATTTCTATGGAAAAAGTGAAAAAAATCTCATCAGAAAACAAGTGTTGAAAGAAATTCATGGTGAGACTGTTACAATATAAAAGTCTGTTGGAAGACATTTTTTATAGCATACATATTTGAGGTATAGTTTTGATTGAACATGAGCATATACACAGTTGTTTCAAACAAAAGCTATTCGAGCCCCATTCCTGCTTATAATAAAGTCACTTACAGAGCACTATTGTCATCTATGAATAATTTAGTGCTGATGTTTGTGTGGAATGTATTTATTTAAATCTGGGTTTAGGCATAACATGAAAATGTATTTCAGCATGTTACCATGTATCCATCAACAGTACCTTGGAGTGCAATCCTAAAATAAAAATCAGAAACATTGCTTGAAATGACCAATAAGGAAAACATCAAGTCTTCTGAGGACTAAAATAGTTCATGGAAACAAAGCAGGGAAGAAAAGGGCTTCTGCCTGCTGATAGTTAATCTCATTTTGCAGTTTTGCGATTAAAACTACAACAAATAGTCCTCTTGGAAAAAGCAAGAAAAAAAAATGTTCAGCCCACACTTAGCCCTGGCAGAACTCAAATACACTGAAGACAGCAGTCGCTCCAAAATTCAAAATGCGCTGAAGGAGGAAGTCCCTTTTTTCTTTTAAAGGGACTTATACAAGCTGGCAGTTATCTTTGCAATAGATACCTAAGATTCCAATACATGGTAGCATTGCTTTTAATATAATAAAAAGTAAAATTATCACTGAATTATTGATGTACTTCAAGTTAGTAAAAACCATTTCTGTAACTCTCAAAATCATATCAGTTATTAGGCAAAAAAAAAAATATTCAGGAAGTGCTTAAAAAGTATTTTTTTTCAAATATTTAGAAACAGTATCAAAGTTTGAGAAAGCCAGAGAACTCAAATGACTGACAATTATGGAAACATACACTTGCAGTGTATGATTATATGCTTACCTACAAGTCATGTGGAATACAGTTCCACCACACAGGAAAGTGGAATACGCTTACTTTCACTAGCTACACTATGACTCACCTAAGAAAATATACTACCTTAAGCAAATGGAGTACCCAAAATATCCAAACCTGCCTCAAAAGTTCCAGAATTTCCTGTATGGTATAAAACCCCCAGCAATACACAAACTCAAACTTCTCACCACCCACCACCACCACCTAGACCCCCACCTATAATAAGCGTTCACAAGTGCTGGAATTCCTGAGGCCACAGATGCCCTGATTCTTGCCTGGTTAGATCACATGACATTGGGAACAGCTGTGGAAATCAAGCATTTGCATAGCATAAACCTAGCAATACAAGGTCAGAACTTATTTTCTTACTTTTAATTCAGAAAAACTTAAAAGTTAACAACATACATGTATGTTGATAGGCAAATATTTTACTATCAGCCAGGTGCTGTGTCCAATCACTTCACAAGCACATGAAGAACTAAAGCAAACTAAATAACAAGATA